GTGGCTCTGTGGTTCAGCTCACACACACAATAACAGACACACACACACACACACACACACACACACACACACACACACACACACACACACACACACACACACACAGCGGAGCTTTGCATCTGTAAATCTGATGGCTGCATCACGCCAATCAGCCCTGACCTGTTAGCTTCCGCCTCCAGTTCCTCTGACGTCGATCGATGGTGCAGAGTTTCAGAGTTAGTGACGGAGCTGCTCGCTGCTCTGAGTGGTGTTTTTAAAATGATCTGACCAATAACACGGCTGCTGTGTGTGTGTGTGTGTGTGTGTTGCAGCTTTCTAACAAATCAGAATATTAATCCCAAAGGAGATGATGTCTACCGTTAGCTGAAAACAGTCATTTCTTTTTGCCATAACCTGGTTGATTTCAGCTGTGAAGGCATAGAGTTGGCTGTTTGTGGGAGGCACTGCAGGGTAATGCCCTCTTCCTCTGCTTGTCTTCCTCCTCAGAGAAGAGCAAACAGTCTGAGTCGAGGGCCAACAAGGCGGCTTTGGAGCAGGTGTTGAGTCGGGACAGGCTGCAGCAGGAAGAAACTCCACCGCTGATCGTCGATCGCAGCAAACTGAAGGTGAGTCTCAGCTCGCCTCTTTAAGGGGCTCAGACTGAATAAAATGTGACGCTGTGTTATTAGAGTCAGCGTTCATCAGTGAGCAGATCCTGGATCAGCGTGAAGAGAATAGCCTTCACACTGTACTCAGTGTGACCGTAAACCCATCAACGCAGAGTTAACAAGGTCACAGACACAGCTGGAGCCCCCTGCTGGCTGTTAACGTAACTGCAGATTTACATCTCCAGCTTCGTTTCACTCTTCATACCTGGATGGTCCGTCTGAGTTTACATACAGAGTGAAGTATACTTGACTAACATGAGGAAAAAGAAGCTGCGGCTGTCCTGCTTTACCGGTCAGACGCCTCGAGTTTGTCCTTTTACGATGAGGAGGAAGCTCTTCATCGTCTCCGTCTGCTCTCAGCGAGTCGTCAGGAAGCTGAACGTGAAGGAATCTGCTCACGTCTGACTGGAGGAAGCCGTCTGCTCACATCTTCAGTCTGCAGCACCAACGGTTGAAGAGCTGCTTTCAGACCGGAAACAAACAGGAAGTCGCACAGCATCCCCTCCCCCACCCCAGCAGCCAGTAATGAATAAAAGCTGCTCACAGGTCTGAAAGCGGGGGCCGTGGGCCCCGCGGCCCTCTGCAGGCACCACCTCAAACCGGTTTCTGTTTTTCAGGAGCTCCTGAGGAGAGCCGTGGCGAAGACGGATGGCGCCGAGGTGGAGCCACTGGAGAAGCTTTACGCCCGGCTCGCTCAGTGCATCTACCGACACAGAGACAACTGCAACAAGGCAGAGCTGCTGCAGGTACGACGCCCACACAGACCCAGAAGGCGCTGTGCTCATGTGACCTCAGTATAAATAACTGATTACAGTAGCTTCTTTATCAAGTACGAGCCTCCAGCCTGCAGCGCACAGACGCCATCAGCACATTTTCAGTTTTCTCACTTTTGTTTTCCAGGAAATGAAGACAGAAATCGATCGATTCTCCTGACCTCCAGCAGCTCGACTTCAATAAACCTCAGTGTTCAAACAAACGCGTCGTTCATTCGTCAGGAATCGTTCAGTTTCTCCTCTCAGGTGTGCTTTATCGTGCAGTGCTTTTCAAACAGTAATACCATGTTTATCTCCATGCTGTTTATCTGATGTGGCTTTAATAAAGTCTCTGTGAGCGTGAATGAAGCCTCCGTCTCTGTTTCCTGTTCAGCTGACCGCTGAAAGCCTGCACATGCGACTCCAGCACGAAACCACATAATAAAACCATGAAAACATGCAGCTGGGGTCACAGGCCTCAGCTGCCTCAGCTGCATGTTTCACTCTGAAACAAACCTGTAGACCAGGGTGTCAAACACGAGGCCCGCGGCCCTGAAACCGCCGCCGATCGGGCTTGCCGAGGGGTGTTTGTGCCCGAACACAGTCACAGTCAGATGAAGGTTCGAGCTCCAGAAACAGAAGAGTTGACAGAAATGCAGATGCTGGGAAACGTTAGTATCTGAGTGTTTACAGAGAGCTGGAAACAGTTTCAAGGATTTCAGACTCAAAGAGCTTCTTTCAGTTTCTCACATGAATCCGTTAGTATCAAATAAAATAAATGATATTAGTGATTTGTAAGTAAGGCTAGAGTTCAGTGTGTGAGTTCAGTTCATGATGGTGGATTTTTTCTCTCCTGTGTGTGTGTGATGGTACTTTTACTCTGAAAGTCGGAGCGCAGCCATGTGACGTAACCACAAAGGCTCTGCTCGTGCCCTCCATACTCATATATGTGTGTGTATATTTAAAAAATAAAAAATAATTAATTAATGTCACACACTGACCTCAGCACGCTGAGAGACGCTTCCGCTTTACGGAGGTTTCTTCAAAATAAAGTCTTTTTATACATTGTTGGTGGTTTGTCGATGCCACGGTGAGCTGAGTGTGCTGATAAGTGCTCATCATTAGCTTTCATTTAAATATATTTTCTTAGTTTCCTTTCATCTACACGTACTTTTATTTTGACTGAACACATCCCAGAATGTGAAACGCTGTAAAAAAAACTTATTGTTTTTACTTGGAAGAAAACACCACCCAGGGCTGGAGCCTGTCCCGGCTACCGCAGGGCGAGAGGCGGGGTGCACCTGGACGGGTAACCAGGCTGTCGGGGGGCTAACACAGACGACCATTCACTCACACAGTCCACGCAGAATCACCAGGTATCCTAAACGCTTTGGACTGTGAGAGGAAGCCGGAGTACCTGGAGATAACCTCCACACAGAAAAGCCCAAATGATTCAAACCCACATCCTGAACATTATTACACTAACTGAAATTTAAAATAAAAAATAACAGCATCATTTTTAAATGAAATATTTCTAATACTATTAGTAATTTGTAATAACAGCACCGCAGGTTGTAGGTTTTGTGAGATGTAATTAGTGTAATTTAACGTATTTAAATGGGTTTCGTCGCTGTGGTTGTTGACTTCAACTACAGCGGTGACTGTTACACAGTTACCCACACGGTTCATGTTACTGGCGTTTCTCGTGTTTGCGTTGATGCTCTTATTGCGAAAAGCTCAAACCGGATACATTTCTCGGCCGTTGCTCGCTTGTAGTGGCGGTATGAAAAATGGCCATCGTCAGATTCGGTGAACTATCGGACCCTTTTCACTTAAACGGTCCGTCTCATTAACAAAGCGCGACAGCGAGCAATGCGAGTCGGAGCGGCGACCGGCCCAAACCGGAGCTAGCCGGCGGTAGTTAGCATGTTCCCCGGCCGCTGGAGCGGCTCTGTGTCCGGCTGAAGCAGATGGGAGCCGCGGTGAAATCAAGCAAAAGGCGGAAGACTGCGTATCAACAGAGACGGCTACAGCTAACTGTTCGCTCCGACATGCAGGAAAACGGAAACCGACAGTGCAGGTAAACACGCCCGGGCTCTCAGCAGGCTGCTAGCGGCGTCAGCTGGAGCCTGCTGCCCGCTGCAAGCAGCGGAGCGTCGGCTAGCACAGCGCGGAGCGGCTAGCTAACGTTAGCGGGAGGATGTTCAGTGAGGACAGGGGAGATATTCGTGGAGCTCTAACATGTTTACGTGTGTGCTGGGCAGGAAGTACACCGAGTACGAACCAAGCCCCCACACCGCCGAGGCAAGGCACTGAGTACTGCAATCAGTGCTGAGCAGAAGTATCAGAAGTACCTTCCCTGCAGGAAATGTATCTCTGACTGAAGTAGCTGGTAACGGTTTGTAAACCGGTCCCCAAACTAAGGCCTGGGCCCCTCTGAAGGGTCACCAGGGATCATACGATGATTAATAAGAAAACAAAGGAGGACTTTGGACTAATCAATGATCCCGATCTGAAGCTATCAGCTGTTTACAGCTTTTTCAAAGGAATAAAGCGCAGACTTGATTAAGTAGAGGCTACAGTCAAAGTAGGGCAGCAACAAGTGCAAATATTTACCTCAGAAATGCAGTACAGCAGCAGTATAAGATTAGGATATACTGCAGTAAACGTTTATTTAGGTCTGCCACTGTACCAGACGTATCTCCAGGGTGCACAGTAGCAAAGTTACACTGGCTTTGGTGGAAAACTGCTTTCATTCTTTTATATGTCCCTGATGTCTCACAGTAAGCTGCAGGGATAGTGGTCAGAGTCGTTACTCATGGAAAGGATCCTGTGATCATCCCCCACACTGGCACTATTTTAATTATTATGTTGTTGTTTTGTTTACAGTATTTAAAATCATGTGTGGTTTTCTGAATACTCTGCGTTATTGCCCCTAAATCCACGGCTCAAAGGAAAATGAAATCTTTAGGGTCACCATGTTTCTGCCCAAACAAAGTCAGGCAGCTAGGAGCCTGACATAAACAAACAGAAGAAGCCATCAGCTGACACTGACTCAGGCCCCTCCCCTTTCACTGATGTTAGTTTTTTAACTAACTAAACCTAAACTGGGACTATTGGCAACTTCTGATTTTATTAACAGTTAATAAACAAAACTGTAGAAAGCAGCTGAGGAGACAGACCCAACCAAGACGGCTTCAACACCTCTGAGTTTATTTGTGTACGGGGACGGCAGGTTAATTAAGTGGTAATAGAAACACAGTCACGTGGTCAGTAACACCTGATATGTAATATGACAGAATAATGATAAAGACGTTAGGAGTTAAATTTATCATCTAAAGGATCCTGCTGTCATACACCAAAGCTGTCTGTAGCTGTAGTTATGAAGGTTTATGCAACTAAACTATTTAACTCTCATACATTTGCTGTTTATGCCCAAAATATTCATTTAAGTAATTATTGCTGTCGTCAGTGTAAACTAAAGCCTCGTTGGATTATATAATCCAGCAGTTTGCAAAGTGGGACAGACCATGTCAGCGTAGGCTGGCCGTACTTTTCACAATAGCTTACAGGACAATGTGCTGCCCTCTGGTGGCGTCTTCCTGACCTGCAACTCGGAGCAACAGAAAGATTATTTGTTGTTGTTTTTTGTGTGTGTGTCTGTTTTTTTTGTATCCTCTGAGAATCAGACTGATTTCTGCTGCGTGACACTGTTTGTGTTGCCCTCGTTGCCCTGTGGCTACCATGAGCAGTTGCTCTTCTGAGACAGGCTAGTTAACCAGTCAGAGCTGCGGAATAACGAGCTGTCGCCCTCCATCTTTGCTGTAAAAGGACATTTTATTGTATGATGTGTTAACAAATGGATCGTTGATTTTATGATACTGAGCGTGGTCGTGATCAAGCAATCATAGGAAGGATTCACTGATGGTGCTGGAAGAGTTTAATAACTGTGATTTGATCAGCATGAACTATTTTCAGCATTTACAGCATAATAACTGCACAGTTCATTTAAAAACATGTGACTTCACTGTATACAAAGCCTCTGACAGACAAGAGCGATGAAGGTGGATGAAGGAGGAGCGACCCGTACGTGATAATTTAACCCTTTAAGACCTACCATAGAACCAAGAACGCCAGAGCTTACATTATATTTTTACAGGCTGTGGAGCCATTTTTGGGAGCATTTCAAGTTGCTATACATCAATACAACTGTTAAAGCCCAAATTCTAATAATATGTCTGCATTAAGTGCATAGTAATTACATAAATTGCAAAAAAGTGCAATAAACTACAAAAAATTTGAAAATCGTTTGTTTTGTTTTTTTAACATATATTTCTAGTTAGAGAAATTTAAGAGGCTTATCCCTCAAAACTTTAAATACAAAAAAGTTGCAAAAAATAGTTTCCCACCACAGGAAATTTATTTTGAGTGTCTTCATAGTTTTATTTTTGAAATACACCAATTTTCATATATTTCAGGAAAAACAAAAATAAATATTATAATGCAAATTTGCAAAAAAGCAGCATATGCATCAAAATAAACTATTTCCAGCAGTGCAATATGAGTCCTAAGCATCCCAGAAACCACACAGAAAGTCATAAAGTCAAACATAACTTTTAAAAACACCAGTAAAGGCTTTTAAGGCCTACAAGTAAAAAACCTCCATTTTCGGCGAAAATGAGGTCACTTCCGGTTTCGGGCAGGTCATGGCGGACATGCGATAGTTCGCACTGACGTCTATTTCAATGTAGGAAGTGTTACAAACAGCTGATCGGATCGGCAAAGCGTGTTTCTGGAATATTATGTTTTTGTTGCTGCAAGTGCTTTTTATGCAGTTTTTGCAAAGCTATATGTGGAAGGAAACTGTGACCGAGGACAAGCTGATGGCATAAGATGTAAGTACAACTCCTCCGGTTTCATATGCAAAAAAATTATTGCGCTAGCTTACGCGGTTCTGGTTTTACAGGGATTTAAAAATAGTTACGCAAAACGGAGCGTGCCCGCTCCGACCGGCTTTAAAGGGTTAACTGCAGATGTGTGATCTGAACAGGTGGCGTGATCGTGTGCTCTGAGTAATGATGCGTTTCTGTGCTACAGGGTTTAAAGACAGCGAAGGGAACATTTCGACTGGTGACCTCCTCCTTTATGGAGCCACGACAGGACGGCTTGAACTGAGTCGGCTCCAACACTCGGCTGAACGCGGCGCTCACCCAAACTCAGGATGGCGAGCAGGAGGAAGTCCACCATCCCCTGCATGGTTCCTCCCCGAGAAACTGTGGACTCGGACCAGGAGATGGAGGATGTAACAGGCGCGGCGGATCCAGAGGACAGCAACGGCGCGGCAACCGTCTCCTCGGAGGCTTCCGGCCTGCTGGAGGAGCGAGGAGAGGAGGCCGACGGCAGGCGTGACGTCGCGGCGTCGGACCCCTACCTGGACTCGAATGCAGCGGAGGGAGGCTACGAGTGCAAATACTGCAGCTTCCAGACGTCGGAGCTCAACCTGTTCACCATGCACGTGGACACGGAGCATCCCGACGTCGTCCTCAACACCTCCTATGTCTGCATGGAGTGTGACTACCACACCAAGAGGTACCATGCTCGCACCACCTGACAGGAAGTGCGTTTATTTAAAAAGAAATGTGAAAGATTAAGAGCCAAAACAGTCCAGATCCAGGCCCTGAAGGCAGGTCGTCCATTTTTAATGTTTCATTTTTAAACCTCCTGTAAATGCACAGCAGCTGTCCTTGTCCCAGCAAGCAGAAGGAAACAAAACTTTCATTCACTTCCTTAAAAAAACACACAAACACAGCAGAAAGATTTTTAATCTCAATAAAGAGACGATTAAAAAAATCACTGTTTTAATCCCTAATTTCAGGGCTGAAAGCTGCTGCTCAGTGACTTTTACGCCAAGTGTCAGGATGTAAAAATGATCTGTAACTGAGCATCAGCACTGTGGACTTTACCATAGTTTAATTACCCATGATCCTCTGCTTCCAGCTACGACACGCTGCTGGCCCACAACGCTCGGCTGCACCCGGGCGAGGACAACTTCACGCGGACGATGGTGAAGCGCAACAACGAGACCATCTTCCAGCAGACGGTGAACGACCTGACCTTCGACGGCAGCTTCGTCAAAGTGGAGGAGGACGAGGCGGAGGAGACGGCGCGCAGAGGCATCGCCTTCAGCAAGACGCCCATCATGAGGAACAAGAGCCGAGCTGAGCCCAAGAAGTTCACCGCCGCGCACAAGATGGCCGTCGACGATGTCATCAAAGTGGAAAGCGACGACGAGGATGACGACAAGGAGCCGCCTGCGCTGTCGCCTGCGCCGATGGCCCCCGCTGCCGTCGCCCCTCGCCTCATCCCCGTCACCGCGCCGCTGCAGGTCCAGGCCGTGCCGCAGAGCATCGTGGTGAACAGCTCCAATGTGCTGCAGATTAAAGGCGGGGCCTCCCCCGCTGGTGGCGGCGTGCTGCCTCCGGGGACGCTGGCGCAGGTTCTGTCAGCCCTGCAGAGCCAGCAGAACAGCACGCAGACGCAGCTCCTCATCCCCATCAGCAGCATCCCCACCTACAACGCAGCCATGGACAACAACGTCCTGCTGGTCAGCGCCTACAACAGGTAAGCACACCTGAGGGGCGCCGCACACGTGGAACCGCCCACTGAGTTTAGCTTTTTGTATATTTTATCACTGTCAGACAGTTGGCTCGCTCTTATTTTGAAAGGCCAGCTGTCGCTCATGCTTTATCTTATTTTACTGCACTTTTCTGTGCACCTGATGAAAAGCAGCCGACCCGCCCGGTTACTACACCCACATTTACATCAGTCACAGCTGGATGGAGGCACCCGTAGCACAGACGGGTGGAGGTTACTGCTTTGCTCCACGAGCACACAGACGTGTTTCTCGGTGTGTAATCCCGCTGCCGTTTCAGCGCGTGTGCTT